TCTGCGAGAACGGATGGACGTTATATTGTTGGCCCATGGATGCTCGTGAAAGGACGGAGGATAATGGTTGGCGCAGGAGCACAAGCTAGAAGAGCTCTGCGGGCCCTAAACCCTAAACCCTAAACCCTAAACCCTAAACCCTAAACCCTAAACCCTAAAACCTAATATGACGGCTACAAGAGAGCCTTTTGTCCTGCAAAACTCAATGCGACAGGAACCTGTGCGAGTGCGCCGCATTGCTTGGTCGGAAGGGCGTTTACAACCTCACTGAACCATGCTCGGGATAATATGGGAACCTGATTAAGAAGCCTCGGGTCCGTATCAAGGCTCTTTGTATGGATACTAAAGTTTTGGGGCTATAGGACCAGGGTTTCTTTCATCAGATTCCGACCTTGCCTCCTAAACCCTAAACCCTAAACCCTAAACCCTAAACCCTGAACCCCTAAACCCTAAACCCTAAACCCTAAACCCTAACTCCTGCACCCCAGGCCCGAACCCGAAGCCTACACGCCTGAACCCCAACCCAAAACCCTGATTGAAAAAAAGAAATCCCCTTGCAAACACTTGTAACAGACTTATGAAACCCTGTAAAACCATACGCAACCCCAAAACCGACAACAACAACAACAACAACAACAACAACAACGATGTATATATTCTGGCCCTAAGCGGATGAAGTAAAATCCAGTGGCACACTGTGACGGACACCCAATGCGAGCTGCCGCGCTGAACGGGTTGGGCAAGCCTTTCTTCCGTGACCAAGGCTCTTTCAGATCCAAAAAGACTTCTAGACCGGACTTATATGGCCGTATGAGGGTTCTATAAGGAATCTGATTAGGGCTTGGGGTAGAGGGCGCAAGGTTTAGGGTTGTGGGCGTAGGGTCTAGGGTGTAGGCTTCAGGGGCCTGTGGATTTAGGGTATCCCTGAATCATGACTGGGGTTTAGAATGGTGTGGGCTTCAGGGTATCGGGTGTAGGTTGTCAATCCAACTGGGACCTTCCATTTCCAGTTCTGAAGACGGTTCTTTGGGTTTAGGGTTTAGGGTTTAGGGTTTAGGGTTTAGGGTTTAGGGGGTTCGTCAAGCTCGGGAAAGTTGGACAACCATGCCTCAAGCCGAGAATAGTGCAAAAACTCAGTAGTCTCAACCAAATCAATGACATCAAGACGGCATACCAATATTGCATGAACACTGCAACTGCTGCAAACATTGTACAATAGTTAAAGGCCTGCTACAATGTTTGCAACCCTACTTGTTGAAGAGCATGTTCAACTTCTGCTAGTGCAAACAAAGATCAGCGTTATGGTTGTGGAAGCTGCACTTGATGTGGTAGAGATTAGCCTTGCAGTCTATGCCGAAACTTCACATTCAGAACGACCTGCAACTGCTACAGGTTGCTCAACATCATAGCTGCGGTACTCGTTCTAACTACTGTCGCTGCTATTACATGAATATGTGCGATAATGTACGTGTTTTTATTTTGCCCGCTACGTGCCGTGTGGCAGGGGAGGACTCACGGCAAATGCGGGCTGCCATCCAAGCTCTGGAAAAGTATGTAACTTAACATGTATGATACACGAGCCCTACTTGTGGAATGCCAGGTGGATGAAATGCACGACAACCTACTGAATCAGCGAAAATACACGAACTACTTTTGAATGTCCGGGCGTCTAAGGAGAAAACAAAAGTAAAACAATGGAACCATTTCATGTCGTATGATCATGTTCGTTGTACTGTTGTATCGGCACTTCTAGCAACAACGTCAGCATCACAGATGCTAGAAATGAGATTGTGCCACTTTTTGCTACTACCTACTTGTGGTTTTCAATTTCGGGCGTCAATGTTTAAGACGTAAAGCTCAGGGTGTCATCCTAACTGATTCTGGCGTGATGCTTTCCTCACTCTTTGGGATTGAACTTTGGGCTTGGGTTCAGGGTTTAGGGTTTAGGGTTTAGGGTTTAGGGTTTAGGGTTTAGGGTTTAGGGTTTAGGGTTTAGGGTTTAGGGTTTAGGGTTAGCTCTTTGGGATTGAGTTTTGGGTTTGGGTTCAGGACGCCAGCGCGACCTCTGCAGCTGCAAAGCAAGCGCAAGCAAGGAGATGAAAGGTGACAGACGGTTTAGGGTTTAGGGTTTAGGGTTTAGGGTTTAGGGTTTAGGGTTTAGGGTTTAGGGTTTAGGGTTTAGGGAGGAGGGTTTAGGGTTTAAGGTTTAGGGTTTAGGGTTTAGGGTT